GACAGCACTGTACAACGTAACAGGTACTTCTGGTTTGCTTGATCTGTGATTCACTGATCAGCAACATCTGGTGCATGGGGCAGGGAGTGCAGGAAGGACCATCTTGCTGTGCTCAGAGCTTGAAAAATGCATCTTGGGGGCTCTGTGTTTTTCTGTGCTATTTTTGGCTGACGTAGTAACTGGAGAGAACTACTGATATATACATAAATGTTAAGTTATAACAGACGAAAGAGAACACTATGGGAAACAAAGGAGGCTGTGGATTCTCAGATTGTTCTTGTGGAGACCTTGTATGACTCAACGAGGGGCGTCTGAGTAGGAAAAGTGGTATTCTCAGAAACTGCACGTGTAAATACTCACAGAGGAGGGAAGTCATATTTCATTGTTGGTTAGCTTTACAGTTTGAAAGAAACACTGCATTAGAAACTGTTCTCTGATGTGATCCAAGATGACCTGTATTTCTGAAAGTCAGTTCTGATGCTTTTTGTATGGTCTCCGGGGCTAAAGCGGTTTTCAGACACGGCTGAAAACTTCTGAACTTTGCATTAAAAAGGTGTAACTTGATCAGTTAGGTTTCGACAGGTTTTATTTATTTATTTAATTGAGACTCTGTATCTCCTCAAGCCATTTGGTTTAAGTGTGAAATAAAAGCTAGGACTGTTGTGCCCTATACTTCCTTGCTTCCCTTGTCATAGGAGCCTGTTCCTGCTATGTGCCTTTTGAGCCTTGAGGAATCTGGTTTTTGAACATACTTACTTCCCCTTGGTGTAGGAGGCTAGAAAATTGCATAAAAATACTAATCTTTATCTGCCTTTTGATTTATTTATTCCTCAAAATAGAATATCCATTGCTTCTGCAACCACAGACAAAAAGGCCACATGGTGCTTGCACAGTATTACTGTTCGGAAAATACTTTGCTTACTATATGAAACAGTTCCTACACTTAGAAGCACTAAGTTAACCCAGTACATTTTTCCAGATAGCTATCTCCGTTTGACTCACTCTTTCATGAAGGCTTATGGAAGCTTTGGTCTTGCTGGAGAGCGTTTGTCTCTGAGATATCGTGAGCTTCTGGTTACCAAAGAAGTCATCATCTTAACAGGGAGAGGATAATAAAATGATTCAGACTCTGTTTACAGGAAAGTTACTAAAACAAGCGTACTTCAACTTTAATGTAGAATTGAAAATTCATCACAGCAAGTTTCCTGTTGGTTTGATTTCAGTATTGTTTAGTGAAAATCTGTGAAGTGTAATAAGACATATTAAACATAACGTGAGATAGTTAAGCAAGTGAACCAGACCAAAGTTTTCACTAGCTCATGCGTGATTTGGAAATGCGTTGTGGTAGCTCTGACTTGTTGCTATCTTGGTTCATGTTAATAAAACTTTTTCACGAGTTGGCTAATGCTGGTGGTTAGTTTACAAATGAATGAAACTATAAATTTGAACCCACAACTTTATATTGTATGTTATAAATCAGGTTTAGATTACTGTAGTTCTGTATGCATTTATTTTGCGTCTAGTCCTGGTATTATCAGCACTATTTTCCAGGTTTGAGACAGTGAAGACGTACAGGTGTGATAAACCCGCAGACAGTGCACGACCTAGTATTTGATTCTACTTGAGATAATATAATATACCATTCTATTGGAATAATTATAATTAATTTTTCCCAGTCTCTATCTGGTCGAGGCATGTGAAACACTGCATAGTTATTTTCTTGTTCAAAAATAGATGTTCCTAGTTGAAAAACTGAAGGAACAAATTTCTCTTTTAAAAAAGGGTGGCGGGGGGATTGTTTTCATTAGTTATCTGTCCCTGCAGATTGCTGGCGTGTGATGTGCTGAAAGATTTTTACGTAAGCTGCCAGCAGCGGTCTGTAAGTTTACTGCCTTGTAGGTTGATATAAATATGACAAAAAGAAATCAGTTTGTCTGTGGGGATGTAGAGATGTGTGATGTGTTAGTAGAATTGCAAGGCTGCTTTCCTTGTGGTTGTTCCTGGATCACATCAGTGGGCTGCAGCTGTTCTTAACCTATATTAAGTTTTGTGTCTCTTCATTATTTTTTTTTGTAGAAGACTCAATGTTATGGGAATTCTTCAATAAAGTGATTCTCTTGGGGGAAAATAAGATAATACATCATGCTAAAAAATAGCTATTGTCTTTTTGATGCCAATTTAGGAATTACTTAAATTCTGAAGTAGTAACATCTGGCTTTATTACAACTTGGAGATGCATAGGCTCATTCTTATTTTTGTTTCTCATTTGCTTGATTCAATTGTAAGCCCCATGCTTCTTACCTCATGTAGCGTATTAAATTTATCTTTAAAGTTGTTAACAGGTTTTGTTCAAGAAAAAGTTGACTTGCTAAGTTTTTGCTGTAGCATATTCTTATTTAGTCCTATTCATTACAATTGGATTTCATAATCATTACATTTTTGTTGTTTAAAAACAAATGAGGTCCAATTTGTGATCTATGGGCAAAATGCATCTTGCAGTTTTTGCATGTTCTTTATGCATTACTTGGTCTTGAATGAATAAGTATGAGATAACTCTCAATTGTATTGTGGTCGAAAGGTTTCCAGCGTGGAAGTAATGAGGCAAGGAACAGACAGACCTTCCTGTAAGCAACTGCTGAAGGATGCTGTATTGTGTGATCCTCTTGAAGATAATGTCCTAACCAGGACACTTTTCTCAGTAACTTGAGAGTTTGGCAGTGTCTGTGAAAACACTTTTTTCTTGTGCTCTCAAGAATGGCCTCCCTTTTGCTGTGTTATTGTACTATTTTAGGTCTTTCAGTTTCCTCTAAATTTATACCTGGCTTTTACTCAATCAGTTTGCAATACAAAGCTTTTTTTTTTTTTTTGGCCTTTCCATTACGCCAGTTATGTGTAGATGCAATGCCAGAGTGCCCCACTTCAAACAATTCAGTTTAAGTGAATTGTATCAATCAGGAGATACTGCCCATTTGAAGGAGCACGTAACTGAAGACTGAAGTGTAGGTTTGATGATGGAAGATTGTAAGATTTTGGGACAAGTACACACAATTCTTCTGCCATCTGATCCTGGGCTTATTCTCAGATTTCTAATGCTTACCTAGTGCTCCGGGGAGGGGGAGGGGGGGTTGGTTGGTCTTTTTTTAACTTGGAAATGACAGTGAAGGAGTAAATTTTTGTTCTGTTTTCTGATATATTAGCAGTTTTTGAGAAATGGTACTTGAAAACTCATTTTGTCATGAAGGGGAAGGGTATAATTGTGTGACGAGTAATCGGAAAGAAAGATTCTTGGAGAAGGTCGCTGTGGTAATTGGGGCTCAAAGCGGTGGCAAGAACAAGAAGCAAGTCAGCGAGCAGCTCCAAGGCATGGCGCTAGCCCTGCCTGTGTGTGTTCGTGCAGCCATGTGCCCACGCCAGCCAGTGCTCCCAACGCAGAGCTTTGGGAAGCACGGAGATGAGGCACGCAGCAGGCCGCACTGCAGCCAGTGTGGGTTGGATTTAGTTATTCTTTCTTTGTGCCAGATCTAGGCTGGCTTCATCCAGAGTCACTCAGTTTCCTCTGTTTTGGGCTTGTTCATGCTTCCAGAAAACGGAATGTTATCCATGGAGACTGAGCTGCCTTTGTCTGAAGCCAGCTTAGGCCTCATGTCTTACCAGCTCCAGCTCTCTGCCGTGAGAAAGCAGTTAGGTGCTTTCCAGCCCTAAATCTCCTCTGGAAGCTGCAGGGGTGTATTTAAGTAGCTCTGCACCTAAGCTAGTAAGTCCAACTGGATTATAGCTGATTGTTGTATGGAGCCAGCACAGTGCTTGCAACCTTGTGGTTAATGAGAAATTAGCTAGAAACATATAAGGATATTTGGGAATTGACTTCATTCGGCTTCTCTCTATATATTCTGGTGTCCAATGAGGTTTTAGGCCCTGGTACGCTCTGAAGTTGCAGGTCTGATCAAATTGCAGTCACCTAAATGTGGATGATTAAAACCATTGTCGTGTCACAGCTGTTAAATTAGTTGTGGCTTTCCTTTTTTCCTCACTGGATTACACTGCTGAGCTAAACTGGTGCTTGGTACGACCTCTTCTAGCTGGTTCATCTGCTTCCTTGGCACCAAGGGAAAAAATGTCAACAAATGAGAGGCACAGCAGCAGAATGACTTTCTTATGTATCTAGAAGGTATCGCCAATGTGTTTTCCTCTCCAAGAATACTTTAATCCAATAAGTATGTACTGCACTCTTTGACCACAGCTCTATGTCCCAAAGAACGTTACAGGAATGGATAAGAGGATGGCAGAAAAGCAGCGGGTGTGAAAGCGTTCCTACAGAGTAGCACTAATGACCAATTCATCTTCCTTTTTGGCAAGTTTCATACAGAAAGTACTGAGGCAGTAAACAGTTGCTGGCTGGCGTTTTTTAGTTTCTTAAAGACAAACCTTTGACAGTTACGGTAATTTTTATTCATAGTCCCATAAGCAGACACCATGTCAAAGTAACATAGTTGTAGGTAAACTCACTTATTCCTTTGTTGACAAAAGGCTGAATCAGATGGACTACATCATGCAGAGGAATTAACTGTGGCATTCACCAAAGATGATTTTGATTTAAAGATGTCATCTTTGTAAGATTAAACTGTTAAAAATATTTGTTGTATATAATGAGCTGTATCCAAGTATTCCTGTGAGAATGACTAGTAGGTGAATTGAGAGAGAATTGCAGGATCTGGATAAAGATGACAAGTCAGAGACAATCTTACTGTTTATTCTCTCTTTATTTAACCCTCTTTGGTCTATGACTTTGTGCAGTAAAAATTTCAGTAAGGTTGTGAGAGAAACTGCTGGCATAATTGAACTTTCTGGTGACTCAGTGTCATCCTTTTAAAAAATAATAATTAAAAAAATGTTGGATAACCTCACATGCAGCTTTTTTTTTTTGTCTGTGGTGTTAATGGCAGAGTACTTTCATAGTGCTACCTATATTTTGACTATTCCTAATCTTTATATTTCCTTAGGTTGTGGAGAGCACCTTGTCCGAACCATACTGGCCAGAGAATGTTCGTGTGCTTTGCAAACGGAAGATGCCCACCAAGCTCTCCTCGAGACTATGCAAAACAAGTTCATTGGTAAGTATCTGGTGCTAATTGCCTAAGCATTTCATTGCATTGTTTAAAATACAATTAACCCTATTAAATAAACTTAAGATGCTTATTTTTACAATTTCTGTTGAAACCCTGTGTTGCAGTTGGCTTCAAATTTAGTGTTGTATTACATCTAAAGAATGTTAAATCAAACTACAGAGGAAAAAATCTAAAGGAAAACCCTTGGAAATATCTCAATTGATATGTGAGTCATAGAATACCCGGAGAGGTTTGAAGGAAGAATTTCCTGTCTGAATCATTGGCTGTAGCATACAATTGCATGCTTTAGAATTGGTGGTTTAGCAGCATTTATAAAGATTATTCATCTCATTAACCCTTTTAAATATAGCAGACCTCAAAACCACTGCCTTTTCTAATTTAATTTCTTGGACAGACAGCTTCTAGTTTGCTATTTACATTATGAAATTGATTTATTGAAAAAGTGATGTAGACTACATTCAAGACTACTGGGGGGTAAACACATTTTTTTCTTTATATGAGAGGATTAAGTATATGTGAATGCAGATCTTGTTTTCTTCCGTCACGTTATAACCAAAATATGAACGTGAAGCTTTAAAATATCTATATGAGCTTGAACTTATGAAGATAGCATAGACTTTAATGGGAATTCTGGCATACATGTTGATTTGCATTGTCTTTATACACCTTGAAATTTTTGAAGCTTTAGTATCTACAGTTTTGACTTCCAAAATTTCTTCTGCAAAACATAGCACTTCTCATGCACTGCGTTGTAAACTTTTTTTTTATGGTATTTTAATTAGAACAAAGAGTGACATACAGATACCTCTTTGGGACCCAGGAACTATTGCCCCTGGTCTCAGTAAGAATTGTATTACAATTCCATTATTTCTGTTGATAACGTGGAATCCTTATTGAATTCTGCTTCTGACAGCATAACATTTGACTTTTTGAGGAGAAGCTACCTCCATATTAGAAGACTTCACTTAATAATATACTGCTGTGTTGCAGTCAATTCTAGATGCTATAAAAATGCAGAACAGAATAATCCTAGTATTTTCCCCAAAGAGATTATAACTGAAGCAGAACAAATGTAACTTTTTGTATTAAATTATTTATTCCAGTGCACAAAGTCAGGGATTTAATTATCCAAGAAGTCTTTAGGAAGCATGCATGTGATAGCATCACTAATTTGTAATGTCACTCTGCAGGTTCTGTATGAAGTGACCTAACTTCAGGAAAATCAGGTCTTCAGTCTCCCTACTTTCTAAAATTATTGTGCAGTTTGTTGTGGGAATACCAAAAGAAAACACAAATAGTATATATCCTCGTTTGATTTCATGTTAACACACACAGATGCATGTACACACTCAACAGCTACTGCCAGAATAGTTCTTTAATAGTACTTCACAGAAACTGTCTGATAAAAGATAATAATAATAAAAAAAAAGTTCAGGAAATTTTTAGTTGAGGTACTTGCTAACAAAAGTGCAGTTCTCTTACTGTTTGTCCTGGTAAAGGTATTTTAATGTGATCAATCAGCTTCTTTAACTCTTCTTTTTTTCCCCTTGGTTTCGGTATATTTTGCCACCAGTTTGCATAGCAGATGTTTTTGTTTTAAATGTTAACTGGCTACTATGTGATATATGAATTGTTTTCTTTGCTGAAAATGTTTGTATTGGACTTAAAAGCATATTAAATATAGCTAAGTTTTTTATTATACCTGAGACTATAAATTACAGAAAAAGAGGAGCTGGACAGACAGAGATACCAGGCTAACAGTGTGATATCTTACTGCCTTGGGAAAACAGACTAAAAACAACAGAACAGGGGAAAGTGAAAAGTATGAAAGGCAGTATCAAATTCATGCTTTTCTTGGCAAACTTGAAAAAAAAGTTTTGTAGTTCCTTTTTGTAATTTCATACCTTAATTAGTGATAGGTCTTACTTGTATTTTCAGAAACTTATCACTGCAAGTTTTTGTTATCCAACAGCAGGGATGTGTATTACCTTCTCATTGGTGCTTTGGGGAAGCATTAAAGTGAAACTTTTTTTTTTTAAAAAAAAAAAAGAAAAAAAAAAGGGATGCAGCCGTCTTTTTGTGTAAGTGAAGTGCTTCTGTGCCTTGATTACAAAGGGTAAAAAGTAGTTTGTCCTCAGCTCTCCTATGAATGAAGGGGCTGAGAAAACCTCCAAGTCCAGATACATCTTGTTGTTTACATGTAACATTGTACCAAGTTTGTAGCCAGTAGTGGAATTTTGAGGAACTTGGCAGTTCTGAAGATGGAATGCAAAGTTACGTCTTGCTAATATAATGTAAGAGCTGAAAAAATGCACTGTATGTCAAACTTTAGGTTTGTACGAAATAGGGTGGTTGTATTTTCTATTTATTTCTGTAAATTTTCGTAGAGGTTAATGTGTTATTCGTTATCTCAAGATGCATGGTATGATGCAGGATTTCATACCACTGTAAAACAATAGGTTGAAACAGCTTAATAGCCTACTTGCTAATGGCATGGATTCTTTCCTTGATAGTCTTTCTTAAAGTCCTATTTTGTGGTCATGTCAAATTTTTGCCAGAATTACAATGAACCAAGGCCAAAAAAAATTAATAGCTTTAACAAAGCAGAGCTGGAATGTTTTGTCAAAAGTCAAAATGTATGTTACTTGTATTGGAGGGAGGAACAGCTGATTTTGGCAGTTGCCATCAGATCGGTGCTTCCTGTTTACAGAACTCTTCAAATCTCCACAGAGCCCTGGGAATTGTTCCAGCAAGGGAATGCCTGGCTTAAACAGTGAGTGCTGTTTAAACAGCAGGTGATGAACAAACTAATGGCAGATGTGCTTCTCTCATCCTTGCTCAGAGCCAGCTAAGTTTGGATAATGCACAATTGATGGTTGAGCTGGAGGTGGGATAAATTGAATTTCAACTTTCTGTAAGTTGACTGGGCTTGATATCTACTGTAGAAGAATGCTAAAGGCTTGGTTCGCCATCGAAGAATGGTGTTCTGTAAACACAAATACCTTCCATACAGAAGAACAGAGGATTTTGTTACTCATCATTCCTTTCAAATGTGGCCAAGTTTGTGGAATGTAGACTTAGAGTAAATGTTTGTGTCATCTCACTGGCGGGAAATCCAGGCTTTTAACAATGGCAGTGTTACGAATTCTGCTTCAAAGTTTCTTATAAACTATTAGAAAATAACGAGCTGAAAGACATAGGTGGAATCTGATATTTGTTCTTTCCTTAGCAGAAAAGTGTTCATCTGTTCTTGAATCTTTAAGCTGTACTTCCATCCATAAATGAGCAATGTCTGCAAAAAGGTTTTAACAGAATGATAACTTTATCTTTTAGAATTTTTTTGCTGAATACCTCTCTTGGGGAAGGAGTTTGGACAGTTACAAATCACAGAGCATAAATTTCTCCATGATGAGCTGTACTTGTTGGTGGAAAAAAGCCTCATGCCACAGTTGCCAGTGACTGTTGTTACACAGGGTTATTTTTGCTATATACTGAGATGCTGCATCACTCTAAGCTTTGTAGTATCCCTTGGGGTTTGATAGCAGAGGAAGCATGCTATGGAAGCGTTATTATGCCTTCTCCACGATGCTGAGAAGAGAATGAAGTGATCCTGAAGTTTCGTGTAAAATGTTTCATCCACTGCAAGTTTGAGATTTCAGAAGTTTGTATGGGATAGTAGGACAGGTCTCTCTCTGTCCTACCTCTCTCTGTACAAAAACAAACAATAAAAAAACACCTAAAAAACTAACATGACACAGTGATGTTACACAAGGGTTTGTCCAGGCCCAGGTTGCGCTTCTCCTTATCAAGGAGATTTTTTCAATTTATCAATTGAGATTTTTTCGGACAGTTGTATCCTCAGTTATTTAATTTCTAAAACTTTTACTTGTGAAGTGTGAAGGTACAGGTCCTTTTTCCTTGCAGCTTCTTTAAAAATTCCAAACAGAAGTTTTAAACAACTTACTTATCATAAAATATGAAAATCTCTGCTTTCAAACAGCTTGTGCTTAAACATTGTACAAATAATAGCGCATGAAATTAAAAGCAGGTTTCATTTAGTGCTAAAGTATTCCTCTAATGTTTATTTAAATTGTTAGCTTGAAGGTTAGTATGATACATAGCAGAAGCAGAGTGGTGAACAGCTTTGTTTTAAAGGCGTGCTGTACAAATGCTGACAAAGTGCAGTGCCGTAGGTGAACTATGGACTGTTGGCCTGAGAAAATCTGAATTTCACTCACGTTATAGCACAAGATGCAGAAGTGTTTAGCTGGGGGATGCTGTGGCGCTTAATTTGTTACCCCGCGCCACGGCCAGCTTTTAGACCAAAGTTCTGAAGGCTTTGAAAGCTGATGTAAACAGTCAAGCTGGTAATGGTTTCTCTGCTGTGTAAGAGTATGAATGTCAGACATCTGATGAACAGCTGGTTAGTCCTTCAGCTGGTAAAGTGTAAATAAAACACTTCTTCTACTGTTAAGAAGATCTGTGCTAGACTGGATCTGTCCAGTAGCTACAAATGGGGAAAAAAGCACGGGATCAGAAATGCTCATATTGATCGTATGCTTTGGAGTAAGTCCTCTTCATCTTGGGAGCAGATTAATTTACAGGAGACGTAGAAGAAAAAATGTCCTTTATTTATAGCTGTAGTTCCTCCAGAACAACGCTGAATGTTGAGGCCAGTATTTAACACTTGTGAAATCTCTGTGCTCTGTCCCTGTTGGAGGCTGAAATGGGTCTCGGTGTTCAGCTATGGTTGTTCTTGCAGAACTTGAAGGGATCAGTGAATGGTGGAGCTGCTGTGAAGATCTGTTTGCTTATTTTAAAGAGACCGTTATTGCAGATTAATAAGGTACAAAATATATAAATAAAAACTTGGTAATGCTTTCCATCTGTTAAATAGCATGAACAGACTAGTTGAGCTTTGAAAGAGGGAAACACGTTTTGTAAGACAATCTTCTGATCGGGGGAGGTGAGATTTAAACCCAAAA